ATCAATTCTCCTATAACTATAGGTGGGAAAAAAAATGGCATTGAAACCCCCTCCAGGTATTCCTCTGTAAGACGATATAGAACAGAAACACTCTCAATGAGGAAAATATTAAGCAAGATCTAGAGATGATGTTTTTCCTGACCTAGAGATGAAAGGTTTTCCAGGTGGTCAGGGACTCAAAAATGGGAACAAGAGAATTTAATTTTTACTCGGAAATAATTTACTTTAATATATTTAAAGCTTGAAGATATTTTTATCTGATTTTTGAAATCCTGAGGAATTTGACTTTAAAATTAACTTTTCTTTTTTTTTCCTTTCCCTTCAGTCCTAGGCAGCAAAATAACACACACACACACACACATACACACACAGAGATACACACCCAGAGACACACACACACCCAGACACACACACACACACACACACACACACAAATTATTTCCACATCATTACACCTATATCCCTTCCATCTCAGCATGATTTATTTTGGGGGGGTTAATTCTAGCATTTTATTTGCATTTCAAACCGTGACTTGCTTAAGGAATACACAATTATTTTAGTTATATAGCCACATATGGATGAGTCTAGATTAATCACAGCTGAGATTTTCTTTTCAAGACTAAACTTACATCACTTCAACCATACTTTCCTGTTCAGTCAGAGATGTCAGCCATAAACACAAATTTAGATTTTTCTGAATCCAATCCTGATAAGATGTTCTCTAGACAAAAGGTGCCATTGATTCTTAAGGGGGAAGCTCTCATCTTCATTATTTGATTCCTGGATGGTACAAACATCCTGAGGTACTGTTATCTTGCAGCTTGGAGAACTAGGTATTCTTGATAGGCAAATGTGTTGTGTTCATTCTGTTTGACTGGGGTGTTCTTTCCCCTAAACAAGGACTGGATTCTACATTTAGATGGCAAGTGTTCAGTTCCTTTCTTGGAGCATAATGCATCATTCTTTTAGGTAACAGAACTTCTTTTTTTCTTTCCCTTCATGTGCTTCAAACCTGATCTAACCACCCAGGGCTCTTTGAAGTCAAAGGAAGTGCTGAACCCCAGGAAACTGATGTCTGAGGCAGAGACTCTCAAGATAAATGAGACAAATGGAAAGGAATGTGAGGAGAAAAGAGGAGGTGAGCCCTTTGACTATCTTGTGCCATGTTGATGCCCCTTGGCTGAGAGAACCTTATACATAAATGAGCAAGTCATGACTGGTGGCAAAACAACTGAGTGAAATATACAATAAGAACAGGCTCATACAGTTAAGTTCTGTCTGGATGGGAAGTGAAAGTTCATGTATCAGTGTAAGAATTACTCTGTCTTGCTTGAAGATGCCAACTTTGAGTCAGATAACTAAGGGTCGAAAGGCACAAACCTACTCTTGTTTCGGTTTTCTCAACCTGATAGGATATTGGAAAGATAAGTTTTGTTTAGATTTTTGCCTTTAAAGGTCCTCAGCTCCAGGAATATCAAATGTATAGTTACAGTGATTGATTAGATATGTAGACAGATAGGTCATATATGGTACATATAAAACCAACCAAAATCAAATTATACATTAAATTGACACATACTGGTCTCAAAAGCTTCTGACCAACTGTGGCCTAATTCTGTGAAATTTCTTCATTGAGTCCATTTTCCCATTGAGTGTGGGAAAAGGCAAACCTAAGATGAACTACTTACAGCTAGAAAAGAGAGGCTTTTAAAAATCGATCTATTAATGCCTGGAAAAGAAGAATCATAAGATATAACTTTTTTTCATTAAGAATCTTTCAGCAAGCCAGAATAGGATGTGACTCATGTGATAAACATTAAATATGTTAATTTTCTCACTGAACTTACTTACAATATTTACTAAACTTACTTACAAATATTAAGTGATTAAATCACTCTGAACACAGACATACTTCACACATACCAGGCATAACTTACTCAAATGTATTTACACAGCTGTAAAAAAAACTCCAAATGAACTAGCAATCAGGAAAAGTAAAAATATTGCTATGAGAACAAGAACGTGAGATGTCAGCTGCTTAAAGAAAGTTACAAAGGGCTTCCTGGGACATGACTTAAATGGATCAAGTTTGTCATTGAGTTTTTTAAAAGGAATCATTTTAACATCTCCCTACACCTAATAGTTTATTAATTGAGCAAAGATATTGATCAACACATCCATCTTTACCACTGTCCTTAAATTTAAAAATGCCAAGGTAAAAAATAATTATGCACATGTATAATCAGAACTAATATTACAACATAGAGGTTATTTATGCCCAAGTTGGAAGCCTTCTTTTTTTTTTCTATACCAAATAGTAGGTGTAAACCAAACTATCTGATGAAGTTTCCAAATTGCTTTCCTAACAGTCTTAATGCTAAGCCTGACATGAATTTAGTGAATCAACTTTTGTTTAAATTTACTTAATAATAGCAAAATGCTATACAATCTCATATAACATCTATTTCTGTTTATTGACAAAAGATGGATTTAAGACCTTGAGTCTTGACAAAATCATATTTATGAACAAAAATAGCTATAAAGTTATCTGCCATTTGGCTTCTTATCTTTTGAAAAATTTCTTATAAAAGGTAAAAAAGAAAAACTGGCCTTCTCTCCATTTTTCACATATAGTAAGGCACATGCTCTTTTGATTTAAGCAGCAGATTTTGGAAGTTGTGAAATATATAAATTCTGCCAAGGACACAGAAGGCAATTCAGTCAAGAGTAACTGTGTCAACTTCTAACTCAGATTAAATTTGATTTTTTAAGCACTGAAAGTGAGGTCATAAAGGGTATTTTAAAATCTACACTTGTTCAATTACCATAATGGAGCTTTTATACTAAAATATATTTATTCAGAATAAATTTGATCTTTATATTCAATTAAACAAATGGCTTAAGGTCGAGGAAGTATTTCAAGTTTAATAAAATCTTGCTGCAGTTTTAGTCACTTTGAAAGGAAAATCTATGTTATTTCTTTTTATGTTTTACAGTTTTATTATAAAATAATATAATTCTAAATAAATGTTTCAATGGAAAACACCTTTCAAAATCCTGATCCATAACTATCCTCAATATTACACATGACTTTGGAGATTTGGGCAAATGTACACCTATGCATATATAGTAGCTATCATGTTAACTATAAACATTTAGAAAGTACTTTTGTTTGCTTGTAATTAATCTAAAATTCTCATCAGAGTCTCTTAACTTTCACATAGGTCAAGAAAATAGTATTTATTTAGAGCCTTTCTTGTGCAAGGCTTTTTGGAAAGGAGATATATATATGCTGTGGGGTTTGTCTTACACTTGACAGTTGTATAATGATAATTCTACTTGGGGAGCTTAGCTTCTGTTTTAAAAAGCCAAAGCTTACAGAACAAACAAAACCAGAAAACTGTACACTAGCCTTAGTAGAGTTTATTCTTTGTTTCTGTGAAGGATTCAAGTCTTGAACACTGAGGCGATGGTTTCTCTTTCCTCTACAGTACATATGCAATACAACAGAGGTGTCAGGACCTATGTAACATCAATATAAGGTTCTCAAATGAGTCTGGTCACAACACTGTTTTTTCCCCCTCTGATAATTATTTGTTAATGAATTTCCTATAAAAACTGTCCTCCTGTCAGACATTAAGTTTTCTCATTGGTAAGCTGAAGGAGAGACCAGTTACATTACAATGAAAACAACACAATAATTGGCTTCCTAACAGCTCTAAGTTTGACATGAAGCATCTTCATAAACAACCTCCTTAAGTCTATGCTACCCACAGTGAAACCAGATGAGAAAGCAGTAGACTTGGAAAGAGGGTGTCTTTGTAAAATCTTGCTCAGTCACCTACTACACCGCTGATCTTGCACAAATCACTGAGTCTGCCTCTGACCAATGAAAGAAAAAAATAGGAACCCAGTGGTTTTCAAATGGCGTGTGCTGCACATTCGAACCACCTGCAGAGCTTTTTAGGAATCCTGATTCCCAGGTTGCATCCCACAGGCCTTCAATCACAATGTTCAGATGTAAGTTTTTAAAGATACTCAGGTGGTTCCAGCTCAGGTGCAGCAAGGTTTGGGAGTCACTGAATTAATACTTGCACAGAGCTGCTTTTAAGATGAAGATAAAGGAGGGGCTTCATATATTGTATAGTGCTTTACAGAGTGACACAAAATATTGTCCCACAACTAAGTACAGTGTTATAAAAAAATACATTGTTTTAGGGAGCTTGATCTTTTGTTTGAATTTTAGTTAAGTAATCATAAATAACCTACACAAATAATCAGTTTACTCTTTCATGGCAGAGCTGTACTGCACTTGATTTAACAGTTGTTTTTTATTTTCTATTGTAAGCTGTCTTCAACATTATTTTAACCTAAATTTTTTAACCTCTTTCCTTCTCTACTAAAAATTAAGAAAACGTCATCTATCTTGTTTCCTTCAGTCTCAAACACCACACTCTATATTGTGCACTTATAATAAGCAGAAAAGAATTAAAACTAAAGTAGAGAAAACAAATCTGAGCAGACAGAAGGAAAATAATTTGTCCAAAGTTACTTAGTTCAATGCTACTAGTTCTTTAAAACAAAAATTACCCATTCCAGATATTTTGTTCCAATCTTCTGCAATAATAATCTATCTGGAAACAAAGACCTATTCAGTAAATCTTTCTTGGCCAGACTTTTTTCATTGCCTCATGACATAAATTATTTCTCTGCTAAATTTTTAATCAATACTTCAGATTTGACCAGGTGGTACACAGTACTTGTTATATATTAATACCATCAATTTCCATAACCTTCTATTTAATTAGATTTAGGGAAAGGATTATGTGATTGATGTAATTAGAGTGCAAATAACATTACATAATTAGAAAGCACCCTCTGTGTTTTGTTGCTAACAGAGATATTATATCCATTCACAAACAAAATCCTCAAATTAAACTCAATTTATAAGCAATTGCAAATATAATCTACCTCCTGATAATGATTTGGTGATCTTTTACCTTTGTGGGCTTGCTAGCCTCCAGGCTCTCCTTGAATTTCTCCTGAACAGTTTCTGCAAGCTGACAGAGCAAGGCGCCATTATCCAATTTCTCCATAAAAGTTTCTGCCGTAATCTCCCTTCCTGCATTGACAATAGAAGCATTATGAAAGCATCCTCATTCCCCAACACAGATATGGCACTGATGCCAACATACTTGATGCAGCTTTTATTACCAAAATTTCTTTTCCAGTTTAGTTACATATATCGAGGATGGGAACTCACTGAAAAGGAAGGTTTCTTTGGAATTTTCTGTTTTCCTTTGGTCTCAAAAATCTCAACATTTTCTATTTTCATCATATAGTTTCAACAGCATAAAAATTTGTTTCACATTAAAAGTGATAACATAACATACTGGATGAAAGAGTCCCGCCATTTAACAATCAAGAGGAGTAAGATCCAACCAGCCAACGAAACTGACAGAACCAGCCTCACCAATGATTTTACAACTTGGCCTCTGAGATTTGTTCAAGTCTCATCCTTAGTAGCCTATTCAATTACCTGGACCAGCAAGGCAAGGGCATAAAAGCAGAACTGGTAATTTTGTTGCCTAGAGTCTTTGTTGATAAGAAAGCCGTAGCTCTTTTCTTTAATTTGAAATGGAGCCATCAAAAATCAACCACCATTGGTAACGTTAATAGCATGGCCAATGCACAAAGCCACATCTCTCAATTCTATTTAATTTGTTTTCCTGATGAAGATAATACAGGTAAAGTCAATGCAAGTGATAACCTGCTCTAATCATTTCCCTTCCAACCACAGTCCTGCGACTGTGAATTACAAGGTTCAGTCTCTGTTATTTTCTCTCTCCTCAAAAATCACTCTCACAGCTGCAACTACAGCTCTGATGAACATGATTCAGTTGTTTATCCCTGACATTTAACCAATTAAATTTTGTCCTCTTTCCTATATTCTTGCAAAACATACTTTCTTTCTTCTTTATTTTCTTTCATTTTGTAACATTTTATTTTATTAATACTTTATTGTGATGTAATTTACAAATCTTGTAATTCAGCCATTTAGTATATTCACAGAGTTGTGCAATCATCACCACCATCAATTTTAGAACATTTTATCACCCCCCAGATGAAACCCTAAACCCCTTACCTATCACTCCTGAATCCTTCATTCCTCCCAGTCCTATAAAATCACTAAGTTTTCCTTACTTGCTCTCCAAACTCATCTATTTTCCTGGTTCTGTTAATTCTCTAAGTTTCAGAATATTTTCTTTTCCTGTCTTAATTTCCATTAACTTCTTTGTCACAAGTCCTATAGATTCATGCCTCCGTCTGTTTCTGGTACCATAATCTTACTAAAACTTTTCATGATCTAATAACTAAACTTCTAGCAACAGGAACAATGGCTATTCCTTGTAGCCCCAGCTTCTCTCTCCAGTACATGTCACATTCATTGCTAAAATTAGTATTGCTAGACAACACCCTTACTGGGTCATTCTTCATCTTTATTGCATGGTCCCTAATCCTCTCCTCTAGTTAAAAGACAAGATATATTCACTCAGTATCCAAAGGCCTCTCTGTATACCTTCAATCCACTTTCTTGATCTAATTCCCTATATCTTGCTCCTTGGTCTTTACCTCGCCTTCACAGTTCCTTTAGGAGACCTTCATGTTTCTATGGGCAGGTCTTTTCTCCTGGCAGGGACTGTTCCTGTAATGTCCTCCTACCTTCTATCTGCTTAAGTTCTACATTTCCTTCACTCAGAATTCTAGAAAGAGATTCTCCCAGTACACACTGATCTCTTTTCTATATGGATATCACTCACTTTGTTACCTATCAAACTTCTATTGCTAGTAACCTGTTTTCTGTAAAGTTCCTGTCTTCCACAATACACTATAAACCACTTGCAATATTTTGTGTGTGTTCCTATGGAACTAAGCATAACGTTACTCACATCGTAGGCACCTAGTCAACATTTTCAGTGAGCTTGTGAATTAACAAGTGAAGAAAGAAATTACTGGAAAACTTTAAGAAAATGCTGGGTGTCATTTTTGTGAAAAGTAGTTGAGGTACAACTCTGATGAACATGATTCAGTTGAAATACACAATTTCAAAGGAAGGAAAAATGTAAGACAGGGAAGCTTTTTAAACCTTCATATGTAATAAATTTTCCATCCAAAATACAAAGAAAAGGAGGTATTTAAAGACTCTTATCAGAAGAGTAACCTTTATCTTACGAAAAATGCATGCAACTCAATTCCATGAACACTTAAAATAAATATAACCCAGTTGGAACAATAGACAAACTACTAGCTCACACTGTCTAATACATTTAGATTTCAAGAGACATCTGTTTAAAATGATTTTTTTTTCAGTTTTGGGGGAAGGGCAGGTAATGAAGGAAAGATAATTAGTTTTTTGGTAATGTTCTTTTTCTCCTACTGGATAGTTCACATTTTAGCCCCCAGTTAGGATAATGACTTCTGCAGCAGGCAAAACATCTATAGGTCTAAGTACTCACCACAAGAGGTAGTCTATACAGAACTACTATTATCTCAAAATTGTACGCAGTTCAACTCAGTTCAGGAAGGCAAGTAATAGTCTGAAGATGCAAGAAGCCAGCACAACAGAATTTGTATTATGCATCTACCATATTTGCCTGAATTTTTAACAATATAAGAAAGCTATTTTTCAAACAAGTATGAAAAATAAATATTACAAATATTTTCAAAATTACCAATCAAATGTCAAGGTAAAGAAGGTACATTTTACTCTAAATTGTTGAATGATTCCTTGATAAATTACTTATAAGAGTTCCCACATTTGGAAGAGTCTTTAGGTGTTCTTATTTCATTAATTTAAGCTCATGGCAATTTAAGGATTCTACTCATAACCTTAATTGACAAGACGATTATAATAAATTGTAAAGAACTTATAAATTACAAAAAGAAAATGTTACTTCATAAAAAAGCTACCAACAATTTACCAAAAGGTACAATTTTTCTTTTATGCACAAATACCTGAAAATTTTTAGTTACCCTGTTTTCATGGATATTTGAAGAAAAAATTTACATTGAACATCTGTGTCTAATGAAAAATATATTAGGTGTCAGCTTTCAATTGTATATTTTATAGCTCTAAAAGGTGAGATTTTTTTTTCTTTTTGGCTAAAACAAAACACTACATAATTCATAGTTGAAATATACAGCTTCAAATGAAGGAAAAATGTAAGATGGAGAAGCTTTTTAAACCTTCATATGTAATGAATTTTCCATCCAAAGAATCATAAACTATACATTTTAAATGTACTATGTAATTATAAGAAATCAGTTATAACCCTGCATGGGACAATATATTATCTCACACTTATTGCATTAATACTACCAAAAGTATAAGAACAATAATAAATTTAGCTGAATTTAACCATGACAAATCCATTAGAATAGGCAGTAAAGCACTACTTACAATTTCTCAAGTAAACATTATACAAAACTAAGAATCTCTGTTTGGTAGAATCAGATCTTTAATCTAAATTATGTAGATGGGATAGGACATTAGATTATAAATATTAGAAGCACTAGGATCCTGGCACCAGAGAGTCATTTCTTCCCCAGCCTTATTTTACCATGTTGTTGGTACATTGAGGGAAAGGTAGGGTAAAGAATAGATATAATTAAAGCACCGTGAAGCATGTTGAATTGAAGTTTAATCTAAAACATCCTAGTCTAGAAGTAATATCTTTACTTCTTGAATTCATGATAGTGGACTTCGATCTTCACACCATCAGTTCAGTCAGGAATGACAGCTTGCCGGTAGATAGAGATCAGGGAGTATGGTTAAATGTTGTAGCTAGTCACTTCCTCTTAAAGCATTAGGACACAATGATGTGAAGTAAACACCTGCCTCAAATCTTTTGTCAAGCAACTAAACTCAACATGCATGCTTGTATATGCCAGTGTATTCCTCTCCAAAATACATGCTTGACTAATTTCCATAAAAATTAAGAATCGACCTATATAATCTTTTAGACTGGAGCCATCTGGAAAAAAAGAAGTCCTTTTATCGTTCATTCTGCTGAGAATGAATGTTTTCCTCCCAGTAAGCTAGCAGTACTAAACTCAGGTTCCTGATGATACAATAACATCTAATAATGATATTTAACATTTGAGTTCTTACCAAATGCCAGGAAATTTACATGTATTGATGTTTTTAATCTTACAAAACTGTGAAGTTGGTGCTACTATTATATCCATTTTTGAGATGATAAAACTGAGATATTTAGATTAAGTAATTTGCCAAACATCACACAGTGAATGTGGGTCTTTAACCCATGAAGTCTAGGTTTAAAATCTATCTATGCTTTTCTATTTACAATAGCCAAGAAATGGAAGCAACCTAAGTGTTCTTCAGTAGATGAATGGGGATGTGGTACATATAAACAATGGAATATTATTCGGCCATAAGAAGAAAACAAATCCTACCCTTTGCAACAACATGGATGGAGCTAGAGGGTATTATGCTCAGTGAAATAAGCCAGGCAGAGAAAGACAAGAACCAAATGATTTCACTCGTCTGTGGAGCATAAGAACAAAACAAAAACTGAAGGAACAAAACAGCAGACTCACAGAACCCAAGAATGGAGTAACAGTTACCAAAGGAAAAGGGACTGGGAAGGGTGGGTGGGAAGTGGGGGATAAGGGGAATAAGGGGCATTATGATGAGCACACATACACGGAGGAGGCACAGAGAAGGCAGTGTAGTACAGAGAAGACAAGTAGTGACTCTATAGCATCTTACTGCACTGATGGACAGTGACTGTAATGGGCTATGTGGTGGGGACTTGATAATGGGGGGAATCTAGTAACCACAGTGTTGTTCATGTGATTTTATACTAATGATACCGAAGTAAAAAAAAAATCTATGCTTTTAAAATCCACCATGCATGGCTACTTAAATAAATATTTGCTGAATACACAAATGACTATTCCCTATAACAATGTATTTTCCCTAACTCAACTCTCTTTTTCTTTGTACAAACTCCACAGAAAGCCCATCAGAAGAATGACAGCTTGGGGCTGAAGATAGTGTTGCTGAAAAATAAATAGCTATTCACCATGTAGCTGAGG